GCCTTATCAAGTGACCTAGAAAAAGAGAATTTGAGGACGTGATTTAATTAGGCATAATCAACCTGAAGAAAACAATAAGGAGATGATATGGAACTAGAAAAAGTAGTAATAAAAAGTATCACTAAAAACAAGAGCTATTTCTTTGAAAACAAACCTATTGCTTAGCTATTTCCTCTGAATTGAACTATTCCCTACTGGAGGGAGATGGGAGGTTCATAAGACTCCAGAAGCTAAGAAAAGTTCAGGTTAGAAAATAAGACTCAAAACTTCAAACATTTTTAAGATTCTCAAATTTCCTCCAAGATTACACAATTAGCAATTATGACACAAGCAAGCAATTGCTGAGGAGAACTGCAATTGCTGAAAACCGAAAACCTGTCAGAGAGCTAGCTCCAGGAATACAGTTTTGTTTCATTTTTCCTTTTCTTTTCTTTTTTAAAATTAATTAATTTATTTATTCACTTTACATCCCAATCATGGTCCTCTCTCCTCTCCTCCCATTCCCCCTCCCTTAATTCCCAGATAAGGGGAACCTCCCCCTACCAGCTCACACTAGCACATCAAGTTGCAACAGGACGGAGCACAGGACCAGTTTTTATGAGTTATCACCTATGCTAGGGTCATGCAACTACAGAGATACTCAAGTTCTTCAACCATGCTCTTGAAAAGAAGCCCAGTGAACTCACTGTTCACCAAACTGGACTTGTCACAACTGTTTCCTTGACCTCTTGTCAGTCTTCCACCTGGAAAAACTGATATTTGTTCACCTCTCCCGGAAAAACAACAAAACAATAGTAAATAAGCAACTAGGAGGATTGATGAAGAAACAGAAAGCTTTTTATAAAAGAACAATGCATAGAAGAACATACCCATGCGACAGATACTATAATACACAACTGGAAGAGGTTTGAAGGGTCCAGATTTAGAGCTCCATGAGCTTAAATGTCAGGAGCTTAAAAGCCAAGTGTAAGGAACCAGGTGGTAGCTGCCCCAGCTACCAGCAAAGAATAAAACCAAGGCTAAACTGAAAATCATATGAAAAGCTCCAAGTGCAACCAACAGAGAACAGAATACGGCCCACAGTGATGAAAATAACTGCCCTGGGGATGACTGTGGAGCCTGCATGACAGCAGCAGGACAGCTGCAGACAGAAGTCACAACAGATGAGAGACAAGTAAATGGTCTTCAAGTATCAATAGGAAACTGGATCTCTACCTCCTATCACTTCAGATGTTAAAAAAAATCAATTCAGGATGTTTTAACAATGTAAATATGAAATGCAACCTAGCAATGTAAATATGATTGCTTTATATTTTTTTCTAAGACAAAAGGGTTTCTTAAACAGACAAGCCTTACTAACCAAGAGAAAAACAAAAAACAAAAAAAACCCAGAAGATTCTGATCTGATTACAAAACATCTTGTATTATAATGAAAACTATAGTAACTAATTTTTCAGATCTGGTAAGATGGAACAGCAGGTAAATGACCTTATCATCAAGCTTGATGATTTGAGTTTCACCTCTGAGATCTACACGGTGGATGGAAAAGATCAATTCTTGCAAGTTGCCCTGTGACCTACACACAAGCATGGATATATATCCTGGCACACACACACACACACTAAATAAATAAGTGTAATTTTTAAAAAATTAAATAAGAGAATAAAGAACACCAGAAGATAGCTATAATCTGGGAAATGCCTGTAAAACAAAAACCTAATTAAAGATTAGTACCTAAATGATGTATGGATGCTTCCAAGGGTTGGGAGAAGTCAGTCAGTAAAGAACTTGCCTTGCAAGAGTAAGGACCTGAGCCCAACCCGAGAACCAATGTGAAAACAGTCAGATGTAGTGGTGCAGCCCAATCTACATGCTGAGCTCCAGGCACGTGAAAGATCTACCTCAAAAATGAAACAAAACCAAAGGGAGGGACGGCTGGATCAGAAGACAGTGCCTAGGGACGATGGCTTAAGCTGTCCTCTAGTCTCCACTCATACACACTACATGTATGCTAACACAAAAGATACAAAAACTGTCTACAAGTCATAAGAGAAAAATAATACAACAACAAAAAAAACAGTAAACTCTTGACTGAAATTTTACAGACAAGGAAACTATAAAACAGACAAATACATGATGAAATATAGGATGCCACTGTCTATTGAAAACAAACAAACAAACAAACTTAAGACCATAGCATACCATTTTAAAGTTTTTAGAATAGCAAAAACTAGAAGAGTTATCATCATATATTGCCAAGAAACACAGAATGGGAACACATCTAATAGATATCACATAGGTATAAAACTGGTAAAATCCTGCTGGAAAATAATTTGACATTACCTTATAAAGCTGTATCTTCATAGGCTCTTCTGTGGGCAATTCTCAATTTTATAATAAAAATACTTCTATACTTCTATTTTAAGAATAACCATCCTACTTAATAAAAACAAATCTAAATCTAGTCAAATATCCATTGACAAAAAGCAGTTATTGTAAACTGGACTAATCCACATGATGGAGCACTATAGAGCATTAAGAGTGAATGAACTATAGCTATAGCCTATATCATGAATGAATCTTTGAAATGTACCAGTAAGTGGGGGGAAAGGCAAGACTTCTGAGTGGTAACATCGTCCTCTCGCTCAGCCTTACACCAACACTTTGTACTCTGTCACCAAGAAGTTCTACTAATCTTAACAGCAATGGAAGAAAATGGGTTTTTCTTTGGTTGCTTATTTGTTTAATAGTTACTATGACCTCATCTTTTGCTACTAATTTCCTCTGAAAATACTACAATTCCATGACTGGAAAAGAAAATAAACAATGTAAGTAATTGCGGATGATGGCCCTCAAAAGCTTACAAAGCAAACATAAAATTAAATGAAACACATTTGAATGCTGCTAATGTCCAAAGAGGCCACCAAATGGCAACCTGTCACGTGAGTGTTTGAAGTATTTTCTGGTGATAAGTCTGAATTTACATCATTTACATAATGTTATGCTTCAGTGTTGCCTGTTATGGTCCAGTATTTACATTGAACTGTATAAGCATTTGTAAATTTGATGCTCCTCTAAAATAAAATACTCTTTGTACAAGCTTTAAAAAAAACACATTGAATGGATATTGTGGTAGTTAGAATGAGAACGGCCCCCGTAGGCTCAGGTGTTTGAATACTTGGTCTCCAGTTGGTGGAACTGTTTGGGAAGGATTAGGAGGTGTGGCCTTGCTGGAGGAGCTGTGACACTAGAGGCAGGCTTTGAGCTTTCAAAAGACTCATGACATTCCCAATACCTTCTCTGTCTTCCTTGTGAGTCAAGATGTGGCTCCCAGTTGCCACTCCAGCCAGCTACCATCATGCCTTTGCTGTGCCAACACCTATGCTATCCCTCCTGAACCGTGACCCCAATTCAATTGTTTTATATGTTGCCTTGATCATGGTGCTTTATCACAGCAATAGAAAAATAATTAAGACAGAAAAAAATTTCAAAACAATTTTCTTTTTGTATTAAAAAAAATATATATATATAGTCAGGCACAGTGGCATATACCTATAATCCCAGCACAGGACAAGAGTAAACAGGAAGAGACTTGAGTTCAAATTTGAGGCCAGCCTGAACCACAAAGCAAGATCTTATCAGGGATGGGGTGGGGAGTGACAAAAGCAAATTCAACATGGCAGCTTCCCCTGGGTTGGGAAAGGAGAAGAATATAGAGTACGGAATCAACCAGCTAGCTCCTCACACCTGTTAGTAGTGACCGAGCTTAACTTTGAAAAGGCTGGCTCACACATATCTATGTTTACTACTAGCTTCCAAATGCGACACATAATCTGGCATGTTCAAATTGTATATTTCTTCTTGTGTGCATGTGTATGTGTGTGTTATGCATGCACATGTGCATCTACATTCACATGTGAGATGGTGGCATTATATATATGGCAGCCTAAAATTGACTTCTAATGTCTGCCTCAATTGCACTCATTTTATTTGCTGCCCATCTCATACTAGACTCCAAGCTCATGAATTCTTAGTCTAACTGCCCAGCTTACCTTGGGTAATGCCATCTCTACCTCCCTAGTTCTTAGCTAAGTCTGCCTAGCGTTTATATTGGTTCTGGGGATCCAAACTCTGGTCCTCATGCCTAGACAACAAGTGCTTTATTTACTGAGCTATCACCCAAGCCCCAGTAATTTAAATAATACACAGAAGTAAAGAAGTAATGAAAGCAGACAAAAGAGAGGGTAAGTCACTAATCCATCAAGTGATGTTTGTAGTCTAGAGTGGAAACAAAAGGAATAGTATAGCTTTCACTCATTTAATTAGTCTTTCAATAATGTTACTTCTTTCTCTGGGCAGTAAATGATACATAGGCTAGAAGGTATCATTTCTTTGGAGGTGGACTTAAAAACAAACAAACCAGAGGAATTCATTATTCTATTAGACAGATATTTGCTGAAACTAAACACAAGCAAGCATCAGATTACTTCTCTGAGAAGAAATTTGTAAGTTTAAAACAATACACAGGTGGGGACTTGCTGACAGCCTGCTGGAAGACTGCTCAATTTTCTCTATCATGATTATCTTATTTCTCCTTTTGTTCCCTATACTCCTCCTCTACATGCTAATCCTCAGATTCAAGAACACATACATACTGAAAAATATGATGAAATGATTCAAAAATTGAACCTCAGGAAGTACTTAAAATGCAGGGCTTCAATTTTTAAATTTTTATTTATTCCTTTTTAGACAGGGTTTCTCTATGAAGTACTGGTTAGCCTGGAACATGCTATGTAGACCAGATAGGGCTCAAACTTAGAGAGATCCACCTGCCTCTGCCTTCCAAGTGTTGGAACTAAAGATGCATTCCCTGCAGAAGTTATATTTTTATAAAATATACTAACTGATCTAAACAGGTATAAGAATTAACAATCGACATATCCTTAGTTTGACTACTAGCTATATAACTGTCACTTAAAACAAAAGGGTTAATCACTTACTGTGTATCAGGAATTGTGCCAGACACTGAAGATACAAAGATGAGTAAGACACGCTTTCTCCTGTCAAGGAGCTCATAGTCTGGTGAGGAGACAACCCTGCAAGCACAAACAGTTTTCAGTGTGACACACAATGCCAAGCACGTCCTCTGGAGCAGGCAAGGGAAGCAGATAACCTTCCACCAAGGAACCCAGTCATCACAGAAAAGACAGCCCGCATATGTAACTTAACCTATAACTTTTTGTTTTTGTTTGTTTGTTTTTGTTTTTAAAGAAGACGTGCCAGACATAGTAGTACATATCTTTAATCCCAGCACTCAGGAGGCAGAGGCAGGCAGATCTCTATGAAGATGATACTACCATGTCTCAAAAAAAAATGTATGTGCATGTGTGTTTTGCCTGCATGTATATACACACATACAGTCAAGGTGCTCACTGTGTTCATAAGAGGGCAGTAGATTCCCTGAAACTGGAGTTACAGGAGACTGAGCTGCCACATGGGTGCTAAGAATAAAATCTATGTCTTCTGCAAGAGCAGCCATTGTTCTTAGGAGCTGAGCCATCTTTCCAGCTTCAGCTTCTATATATGCGCACATATGTGTATGGCACATGTATGCAAATGCCTGCTGTAGCCAAGTGTTCCAGATCCCTGGAACGGAAACTACAGGTAGTTGTAAACGTCACAGTGCTGGGAATCACACACAGGAACTCAACAAACAAAGTAAGCTGCACTGCCACTAAGCTATCTCCCCAACCCTTAAAGTCCAATTCTTCAAGAGAGAAGTACAGAGAGCTAACAGTAAGCTAGGCAATGGAACAAGAGGAAAAAGCAGCTAGGAGGGAAATAAAATCCTAATTACACTGAGCACTAAACTTTAGGCTTATCCTCATCTATACCGAAGGGCTTCAATAATGAAAATTGCATTTGGAATGATAACCTGGGCAGCCATGAGGCTACATTCAAAGGAGTGAGTTTACCTGAACAAGCACATTGGCAACATGAAGGAAGATCTGGAGTAAGGGTAAAACCAGAGGACTATGTCAGAGCTGAGGGTTAGTAGTAACAAAGAAAACTCAATCTGAAACGAAGATTTCCCAATTCAGTGTGTGTATACAGTGGCTTCACAGCAGCAGAGGGAGAAGAGGAGCAAATGTGGGGAGACAATATATCACAAAGTGTTCAAGAGCCAGCTCTGCGGCTGAATGATGAGGACTTCATTTCCAGTCCTGTCACTTAAGGGCCACATGCTAAGCTGTCTTCCCCACAGCCCATTTTCTGAATCAGAACAAGAAGAGCAGAGCCATCAACTCCATGCTGTAAGGAGGAGGAAATGAGGCACAGCACACACTAACCTTAAGGTTTTGATTGCATGGTGCAAAGTAACCACTTGTCAAAAGCTAATTGCTGTTCCAATTTTGAGAAGTTGGAGAGTTGTTTTTTTTTTTTGTTTTGTTTTGTTTTGTTTTGTTTTTTAATTAGGGGTATGATGTTCAAAGAAAACATGTTAATATCCCCATATCAGAGAAGCTTGGCTTAGGTAGATGGAGAAGAACTATTTGTAGTCAGTTTAGCAGAGTTATTAATCACAGATGATAACAAGCTTGCTCATAGAGGATATATTCTGGAACAATTACTGAGAGGACTAACAAAGTGTGCTGATCAACCTCCACTAAGCAAAATGTGTTTTTCATAAACCCCCAGGGACAACATTCTCCATGTTGATATGCCTATTTTCCAGAAGTACTTGGCATATGAGAACAGATAAAGATTGTAGTGTAAAAGGAACATTTATTCATCTGATTCAGCTGTTGTCTGGGAGACTTACTGCCTCCTTCTGCTAACCTAGGCCCAGTCCTGGAATCTTCTAGCCTCCACACAATCTAACTTAGGCCTAGAATGTTTTCAGCCTCTGAGACTTAGTGATGAATAAGCTCTTCCTTTCTTGTTCATTCTGAGCTCTGGATTGGCTGGTTCAACTCAGCTGTTCTGGCTCACACTCTGCTCCCAGCTAACTTATTCAATCTGGCTTTTTTTTCTCAGCCTCTGAATTGCTCTGCTTGTCCTCAAACTAATTCCAGCAAACTGCTCTAATCTCCTGGCTTCTTATTCTCTGGCTCATTCTGTCTTCCCCTGGGTTCTCTCTCTGCAACCTGTCTCTCTATTACTGTCCCCATAAAACTGCCTCCTTTTCTCTCTCTTTCTCTCTCATTGCCCCTTAAGTAGCTTCCTTTTCCTCTCTTCTCATGAGAGTTAGACGTATCCTATTCTGCCAAATCTTTCTCTGATGCATCAGTCGTTTTGTTTTGTTTTCCTGTCACTCAAATAGACACCATTTTCAAACATAGGTGCTTCCTTCTACAAACTAATTTTACCTTCATTGTTTGGGATTAAAGGTATGTAACACTACACCTGCACCTAACCTTTTCTTTACCTGAAACTTGCTCTACACCAGGCTGGCCTTGAACTCAGATCTGCTTGCCTCTGTCTCCTGGATTAAAGCCGTGTTTGTATTCCAGCCAGATCACATAAACCTACACGGTCTTTGGATATGATTTCTTGCCAGAGCAGCCATGTTCTGAATTACAATTTCTCTACACTGTAGGGTCAATTCATATGCTAAGAGAGTAAGTGAGTCAAGAGAAATAAAAGTGTGACTTTCACCAAACTTTTCAACAAAGTGAATATTCAGCCAAATAAGATTAGGTTAAATCTATGTGTAAAAAGACAGAGGGTACATCTAAGATGATTTTGTCCAGTTCAACCCTTTGAAAATGCCAAATGGTCATTATTCAGGCAATATACTATATTTCTAGTACTCTGAAATTACAGACCTATCGAACCCTCATTTAGAAACTGGGGGAAAGAAACTGAGCATGATGGTGCATGCCTTTAATCCCAACATTGAGGAGCCAGCAGAAGAAGGAGTTTTCTATCAGTTCAAGGCCAGTCTGGGCAACATAATGAGTTCCAGGACAGACAGAGCTACTTAGTGAGAACCTGTCTCAAAACCATCTAAAAGAAGAGAGTGGGGTGGGGAAAGGCTGTTTGTGGTTGTTTCTAAGAGTGGGTCACACTAGGGAGCCAGACTGCCCTCACCCTGAGTGCTCGAATTACAGCACATACTGCCAGCTCTGGGAGAGGTGTCTAATTCCTGCTGACTTCAAGATGCCACTGTAAAGTCAGAATAATAAAACAAACAAACTGCACTCCCCTCTTCAGAATAATCGGAATAGAACAGTCTGAATTGTTTGTACACTCAGCACACTATTAAACTTTAGAAGGCCAGTGAAATACTGTGACAGCTCCTTAGGCCTGGATCAGTTAACAGACATACGCATTAATGGTCTAATCTGTAAAGGCTGGCACAAATAAAAAAATAACAGAAGACAAAGTCCAGATTCAACAACAGGAAGTCTAGTTTTAGAGACAATAAGAGAAAGGAAATATCTCAGTAATAAGACAGGACAGAGAGCATCTTAGCCCAAAGGCAGGGAACTAACGCATAATGAATCCTGAATCACAGTTACTGTACCAACAGCACAAACTTTAAAACTCAGCGAATGTAAACATGATGATCATGAATGAACCTATCAGCCTCCCTAACACCTAACTTAGCAACTCTTAATACACAAAGAATACAGTTTATAAATTAGTTTATAAAAATGTAAACTAAATAATTTATAAAAAAATATTGCTAGTTATTTTAATAAATTTATGAATCATGAAGATGATAGGAAGGTAGCCTGGTTTGCTCAGGACCGTCCATGCACATTTTAGTCTTCCATCCTTGGAAACTCCTCAGTTGTGTGAAAACTGGGACATTCAATAGTCTTAGTGACCAATGTAATGACTCTATCTGCACTTAGCTTCTTTTCTGGATCTCAAACTAACAGAAGTCTGCAACTAAGCAGTTTCCTACTTCTGTTTCTGTAACTGTAGGAAAAAAAAAAAAAAACAGATCAGTTACATAGAACTAAACAGGGCTCAAGACCATACTACAGGGACTACATACTACAACTTCCAATGTGCATTAAAATATCCTCAGAAAATAGGACAGACTGGACATTTGTTGGACACTGTAGATGTACATTTTGAATTTTTAAATATGTTGTTTTTGTTTTAAAAATTAAGATATACTTGCAAATGTTCTCTTCTCTTTGTTCCTCTTAACCCTTCCCATGTACCCCTACCCTGCTTCACTCCCTTTCAAATTCTTGTCCTGTTTTTCTCTCATTGTTAGATTTATGTATAAATATATAAATATATGAGTATATCCTGCTAAGAAAGAAAGAAAGAAAGAGAGAAAGAAAGATTCAATGTCCCTCTTAGCCCTCAAACATTAAACTCTAAGTCACAACTTCTTTGATTCCTAACGATTCATTCAAACTCCTGCATATGCTTCCAAATGTTCAGTCCTTCTATTCTTCCTATCCCAGGCCCTTCCGCATATGGGCTCTTGTCAAATGTAAGGCTTTCAAATCCACACCAGTACCTCATCATCTTGTGGCTTGCCAGTCTTCAACCTTCTCAGGACCCTCATCCTGATCTGGTGGCCCTTTCTTGAATATTACCCAGCAGAAGCTGTCTCTACCACAGGTATGCAACTCTGGGTCTTCTTTGTCTAGGGACACTGGCAGCAACAGCAGCGAGCCTTCACTTGCATGCACTCTATCACTGTCTACATTTCCAGTTGTCTTTGGATTGCTGTGTTTTTTGTTGTTGTTGTTTTGGTTTGGTTTTTTGTCTCTTTTTTTCTTTCCTTCAAAACCATCATCAGAATGACCATGAATAGGGGGCCTCCCTCCCCCTAGTTGCCCCCCTGAGTTAAAAGGATCACTTGAGCCCAAGAGTTCAAATGCAGTCTAGGAAAAATGAGACATTACACCAAGGGCAAAAAGCAAATTATCATCAAAATGTTTTATAAAGTATGCAAATTAAACAAGAAAAAAAAAAAACTCCTCCAAGAGTCATCAATTTAGAAATCAATATTTTAGATTAAATAAATTTGAAATCCTTACTAAATAGCTGAGACAGGGTTCATAATAAGAAATGGATGAGAAAACACAAAGCTTTCTTTTGTAAGTTTGGAATTACTTTA